AAAATAGCTTTCTACCCACAGGAGTAAAAACATTTTTTTTTTTCAAAATATATTTAATATAGACACACAAGGAAATGTAAGGGGGCGGGACAACGCTTCTGATTGGATAGCCTTTCACCTAGAACTGTCAAATTGAGTTTGATGAAAACCGGTCTCTATACTCTCTAGTGCAGCTGTGGCAGACTGCAGATTCTCACTGTCCTCATTATAGTTTCTACCCTTTTATTTCAGTCTTCCCAAGACTGACCTCTGAGTAATTTACCCCAGAAGCAGGCACACTTTCTTCCACAAAATTTCAAACCTCAGTGTCTATACAGTCAGCTAACCAGCACAATGAAGTCAGTTGGTCATTAAGTAATGGAGGAAAAATAAAAGCAATAATAAATGCAGATAAGGTGCAATATTGGATGGAATTAAGAAACATTCATTAAAAGCAGTGGGAAAAAACACTGTTGATAGCTTAGCTTTAAAAGTGGCTCCAGTTGGGGCTGATCTAAGTTGTAATGGGTTGGCTGGTTCCAGCTGTGTGCAGCATCATGGCTAAAAGCACCTTCCCCTTGTTTAGTCTGAACTCTAGGCGTCACTATCTGAGCAGTCCCTGCAGATCTGAGGTACCTGTCAGGTTTGTATTCAGCAAACATGTCTCTGATGTATTTTAAGCCCAGACCATTGAGAGACTTGTAGACAGTAAGTACGGCCTTAAGTTGAATTCTGTATTTAACTGGAAACCAGTGCAAAGACCTGAGGACTGGAGCAATGTGTTCTCTCTTCTCTGTTTGTCAGTATTCTGGCAGCAGCATTTTGAATGAGTTGCAACTGTCAGATGGTCCTGTTGGGAGGCCAGTAAGTAGTGCGTTACAATAGTCTACTTGTCAGAGGTCGGGTACGCGTGGACCCAGTATACAGACACACACCGGGAGTGGAACACAAAAGGAGTTTATTGTATACACAAAACGTCAGGTTACTGGGAATGGAGAGCTGCGATGAGGACCGGGGAGGGACATTTTATTTCAGTTTTTCCTGCAGTGTTGATGGGCTGACGACTACAAAAGGGCTGTGACCTCACCATCCAATAGACAGTGACAAAAGAAATGCCCTGACAGTCTGATGAAACATAGCAGCAAACATAATCTATAACCTTTGATAAGATAAAGTTAAATTTTTTCAAACTTTGCTGTACTGCCAGCAATTTAGATTTTGTAATAGCAAAATACTTCTTCTGTATGAAACCATGTCCAATGACACTTATTTATAAGTGGACATAAACATTTGTTTTTTAACAGACTTGTTTAGATTTTGTCGACAATTAGAGAAAGTATTCAGATTGATAAGTAAAAATACTAGTCTTTGGAAATAAGCGCACCCAGTACTGCAGAACCATCTGCCATGTGAGAATCTATAATTACAGTGCCTTGCGAAAGTATTCGGCCCCCTTGAACTTTGCGACCTTTTGCCACATTTCAGGCTTCAAACATAAAGATATAAAACTGTAATTTTTTGTGAAGAATCCACAACAAGTGGGACACAATCATGAAGTGGAACGAAATTTATTGGATATTTCAAACTTTTTTAACAAATAAAAAACTGAAAAATTGGGCGTGCAAAATTATTCAGCCCCCTTAAGTTAATACTTTGTAGCGGCCAACACAAACTAGACTTTTTCAGTAATTTGTTGCTTTGCTTTCCTTCATCAAAAGGACCTAAACAATTGTTAACCTCAGCTCGAAAATGATTTTCAGAACTCAAAGATCTCCGGTACAGCCTAACACTAAACAATTCCTCATGATCTGCCTCTGCAGGGGTACTAATGCCATCGGAGCCACACTGTATAAAACAAATACATGAAACGATCGATTTAATTCATGTAGACTGATGAATGCACTTTTGACTGTTTTGGCATTTTGTGATGTGACTTTGTGGTGTTGGGTGCCTTTAATCCTTGTGTATTTCATCTCACTCCAACAGTGTGTGAATACATTTTATATACTTCTGTTTGCAGGAGTGTGTGTGTGTGACAGACAAATAACATATGTACAATAGGTCAGAACAAAACTATCTGCCCAGTTAATGTAATTGTAATATGATCGTTAAATTGGCTCATGGATAGATGTTAAAACGAACCACCCTGTTGTTTATCTGTATTCAATGGCCCGTGAGTCAAAATTCACACCTAAAGTCATTCAAATGAATCATCATTAGCGTGGAAGGAAAATACTTAAACAAGTCTCACTCATCCACTAACATGAATTAGCGAATTGCGTGTTTGCTTAACTGCAACTAACAAAACGAGGATGTAGGTAAATATTGAAATTCCCTTCGATTGGTGGCCAGTCTGTAAAGCACCGGGTGAGCAGGCGCTCCCTATTGATGAGCTTCAGCTAATCCATCGCATTTCCCTGTAAATAGCTTTCTGCATGAGAAAGAGACCCCCCCCCCCCCCCCCTACATGAATTAAATCGATCGTTTCATGTATTTGTTTTATACAGTGTGGCTCCGATGGCATTAGTACCCCTGCAGAGGCAGATCATGAGGAATTGTTTAGTGTTAGGCTGTACCGGAGATCTTTGAGTTCTGAAAATCATTTTCGAGCTGAGGTTAACAATTGTTTAGGTCCTTTTGATGAAGGAAAGCAAAGCAACAAATTACTGAAAAAGTCTAGTTTGTGTTGGCCGCTACAAAGTATTAACTTAAGGGGGCTGAATAATTTTGCACGCCCAATTTTTCAGTTTTTTATTTGTTAAAAACGTTTGAAATATCCAATAAATTTCGTTCCACTTCATGATTGTGTCCCACTTGTTGTTGATTCTTCACAAAAAATTACAGTTTTATATCTTTATGTTTGAAGCCTGAAATGTGGCAAAAGGTCGCAAAGTTCAAGGGGGCCGAATACTTTCGCAAGGCACTGTATATAAGCAGTTTGATGGACATGTTACTGTCTCCTCTGACACACAAAGTATACTGTTTGTCTTACTGCAGCTGAGATGAGAAGATAAATTGAAAGAACCAAACATACTAATGTTTTTTCATAGTTTTTGCATTTTTATGACAAAGACAAAAGAATATACTCAAACAATCCACTGTTTGTTTTGTGTTATTGAGCTAATTCATTACTGAGAAGATACTAGCCATACTTAGCCCAAAGCTTTTCAAAGTTCTGTACACCACAGGAACATTTAGATGTAGTCAATTCATTGGCGGATACTGTAAACCAATTAAAAGAAATCTGACTTGATGTGTGACTTTACTGATTTCTCCCACAAACAAAACACTGACATTATAGACATAGTATGTTTGATTTCATACAGATGTAATGCTTTGCTATTACACCCACTGACTTTATCACAGCACAGTAGCTGACCATGTCAACATAATTCATATGTTACCAGCAGAACTTCAGCTGAAGCCTTTGACCTTAATTCCAGCATTTTATAAACACAGTGTGAAAGATGAAGATGTGTCCTTAAAGCAAACTGTGAACCGTGGAACTGAATGTTTTTAGCACACTGTTTCATCATTGTACAAACACTGACTTTAAATTTCACATGGTGTGAGGCCTTAACCAGATGAAGTGACAGATGCAAAATGTTCACTAAAATGTGGTGTTTAGCCACTACAGAGAGCCTGGAAGAACTCTACTGCTGCTACAGTCTAGCTAAGTACATATGGTGTACAAGGCAAATGACAAACTCAGTAGCATTAATCGAAACAGTGACGTTTGATTTGTTCGTTGAAAACTGCGTTTTATTGGAGTAGTGGCGACGTTTCCACATAGTAAGGGTGGGTTTCTATCTATCTATCTATTTGGTGAGAGGGGTACACATACACACTCACCCTGTGGAGGGCAGTATATTGTGCCTCATGGTGTACAGTCTACCGGTAATCTCTGAGAAGAAGAAGAAAACGGAAGGATGTTACATATGGTGTACAAGGCAAATGACAAATTCAGTAGCATTAATCGAAACAGTGACGTTTGATTTGTTCGTTGAAAACTGCGTTTTATTGGAGTAGTGGCGACGTTTCCACATTGAACCGGTAAGTAACTAAAACCTGGTGTGAAACAAGTTGTAATGTGGGATTAGTTGAATATTACGTAAGCTAACCAATTCCGATTTTGTCCACTTAACTCGTGCTAAAGTGAAATGGTCCCTTCAGTTTTGTGCTGACAAGCTAGTAACATGACTTTTAATACTTACATTTTATTTGGAAGGTAAGCTGTGAATGTGAAACAAGAGAAATCCCATGTTACGCTTTGATAACTGAACAAACCCCCCACTTTTGTAGTTGTGTTGATGGTGCCTGTTTTAACAACGTGTCACTAAAATGCTACAGTTGGTCAAAGTGTTTAGGTAAGAGAAGGATGTTTCAAAATGTTTGACGAGGTTCGACAACACTGGCACATTCTGAGCTCCGATCTTAACCTTAAATCACTTTTAAAGATCCTCCACATATTCTTTATAAGTTCCCCAAATGTTCGTCGTGTCCAACCTTCCACCTTCATTTTTTATCAGCCATCCCTGATGGCAGAGGATATGTGCTCACAATGTGCACAGTGCAGCTTTACTCGTGTGTCTTTTCTCATTCACACTGATAAAGTACTCAATGTAAGAGGCGTCATTACTTGCAATACAAAATGTTATTTATATGATTAAATGTCCGTGTGGTTTGGCCTATATTACCACAACTACACGTTGTCTTACAACTCGTATTTCAGAACATAGACGCGATAGATACGAACCAATGATCAACAGAATCCTGTGGTTGTTCATTTCAACTTGTTTATACACGGAACATGTGAAAAGCCCTAAAGGGAGGGAGATACTAATTATCTGCTTTTGAAAAGGGAGGCATTTTACATTTTCACTATCAATACTTGCCTAAAGGCTTAAATTTAGACTTTAAAACCATTTTTGTGGTATGGTCATTATTTGGCATACTATCTGTGTTTTGTCCAGTTGTTGTCTAAGTTGGGTTATAAACTAATACTTTTTTAAATAGGATTTCTCTCCCTGTGCTTGTGGTGTTTTTACATGCTTGTGATTTTTTTTTTTGTTGTTGTTGTTCTTTATTATATTTGCCTTCCTCCCATCTTGGTATTTTTTGCTCCCTTAGTGGGGAGTTTTCTCATGGCGTATCTCATTTCTGTCTAGATCAATCCTTTCTGAAACTGATCATCTCAGATTAGTCAGACTGAAAACACCCGAGTACTGTCTTAGTAGGTGCACATAAAAATGTGCCTTTCAGTGTGAGGCCCGTTGGATAATGCCTGACGAAGGTCCTGTATACATCCACATCTGCTACTATTGAATTGAATTATTGGCAGCTCAGTACACTGTGCAAATTTTTTTTTTGTCCTTGAAATGAGCCATGCTGGTTTGAAATAAGCATCTTAAACCAGATCAGCGGCGGTGTGGAAAAATTGGGCTGCAGATTTTAACAGCAATAGCCAGAGGGAAAGACAAAAAATAAATGTAAGAAATAATTATTACCTGTTACACTGGGTTTTACATTTCTAGTCAAAGATTTATTAAACATGATTAACATGCTTAAGTTGCATTAAGAAACAATAAACAGCAAAGTATGCTAGAATGAAGAAGATGATTTGTTTGTGATCACTCATTTGAAATCTGATCTATCACACAGTTTCTGTCATAACCCTGCAGTTATGTGGACTTTGAGAAAAGATAGTGTCGGTACAGCTTCAATAAAACATGAGGGTTTAACAGCCGGGTATCACTGTACAGATGACTGGGTGAAATAATAAACTCCAATACTGTTTTTTTAAGGCATTGCACATCAAAATTAAATCACCATGATGCCTGCTTTGCACTCCAATGTTCATCTTAAAGTTTTGTGCCCATTCCTTTTAAATACAGTATTAATGCTCCTTTTTCCCCACACAGAGATGTCGCGTTTTGGTGGTGATTTAAACTTCTGCCTGGAATGTGGGAATGTTCTTCTACTGCCAGGAATTCAGGACACAGTGTGTTGCCCCCGCTGCTCCTTCTGCATTCCTGTAGCAGGTACCAATTTGCTGTCGTGTCCTCTCTTACTCTCTAAACTCCCAGTAACAATCCTCAGGTGTGGCAGGAAAACCTCAAAGAAAAGACAGGGGTTAGGGTTAAATTACATTAGGCTGCGTTCCATTCTAATCGTTATCACCATTCACAAGGGTGACACATTTTTAATGAACTAGTCTGACCAATTTTGAAAAGAAAAAAAAAGGAAATGTACTCTTCTTCACATAGAAAATGTCACAAAAACAGTGATTTCTCCTAGAGGCCTTCTGCAGAGTTTCAGAAAAATTTCATTTGAATCATACAAACAGGGCAGCCAATGTGTAGAGCAGCTACTGGTGGCTCGCACGTGACACGTTGGAGATGCTTTTAAGTTTTATTTAAGTTTTTTTATTTTATTATTTATAACATTTTAAGTTTTATAATGTATGCGCTTGTAGGCTACATAGTGCGTATTCTCTGACTACCAGTAGCTCGCTACCAAATTCCGAGTAGCTTGCCTAAAGGTTAGAAGAAGCTTTATTTATTGTAACATTGTGACACGTACAAATGAAATTTTGTTTGGAGCCGAGGGCCCTGGACCACTGCGTGCATACGCGTTGCCATCACGGGTGAGGTTCAGTGTCTTACCCAAGGACACTTTGACATATGGACTGCAGGCACCGGGATTCGAACCTTCAACCTTCCGGTTGGGAGACGGCCACCTCCCCATGAGCCCACCCCTGGTTCAGAGAATACACACTATGTAGCCTACAACGCGTGCATTATAAAACTTGAAAATGTTAAACAGCAGAGCTTCACTCAGTAAACCTGCTCAAGCTGCAATCCAAACACAAACACACAAATGTTCCACCCTCATTTGTCATCACCTGTCAATCAAATGGGTTAACTCTGCTGTCAGGTTTGATGCCATTCAGTGATGTTAGCACTGTTTTACATCACCTACAGTACATGTACACTGTAAAGTAAGGTTTTGATGTGTGAAAGGAGGTGCATACGAGTCTGATGTGATGATTGATTATGTTTTTGATACAAAATGTGATATTAATATTTGATAACAGTTAGCTTATTTAGAGATCTGTTTGAAAGTTTTGATACAGGGTGAGCCCGTGTACCCGTATTGCCCTTGGCACCGGTATTGGAGGCGGGCTACTTTTCCGTGTCTCACCCTGTATGATATGTCAGTAAATGTAACTAGTAACCTAATATAAAACATGACTAGCTCTCAGAGATAAAAAGGTTGGAGGCCCCTGATGTAGAGCGGTGTAGGCCGCAGCCCCTTGGTGGCCCATGAGGGTGTGAGAAGTCATTCACAATAAACAATTACCATACATAAAATAAGTGGAATGAATGAATAAAAAGTTTGGCTTTCAGTTTTGTAATTATGTTTGAAATGACCATAAAATATTTCTGATTAAACACATACTGTACATTTTAAAAAGAAACCAGAAGCTAGTAAAAGAGAGCCACAGGAATTTTGTTGTTCATTTATTTGACCTCTTTCTAACCTGGAATGTATCTTATGCCTTGTCGCTGGCGGAGAATTGTCAACGGGAAACTGATCAAATGGAGTGGTGGCAAAAAGAAAGCTGTTACTGTAGAACTCAAATGATGCAGTGACGGCAAAAAGATGGGCTCGTAGAAATTACTCAAGAATACCTGTCTGTGGGATTCACAAGTGTGGTACCAGAAGATGATACCCTGCCTGTGCTCAGAGGTGCAAATGAGGTCCTGAAACCATGCAAGCTGCACTGTCATTTACAAACTAAACAGACAGTTCTCATCCAAGCCTCAGATTTTTTGAAAATGAGCTAAGAGAGTGTTTGAGCTGTAAAAAAGTGACTGAATCCAAGTGTGTCACTGGGAGCGAAGGCACTAAGCCAGCGGAGGTGTCCTACGGAGTAATCACAAAAAGTGGCACACCAAACACGATGTGAGGATTTAATTTGACCTGCTGCCAAAGAGTTAGTTGGAATGATGATTGGTGAGGAAGAAGCTAAACAGTCTTACATGTGACTCATATCCAGTGCAGTGAGAGAAAACGGTGTGCGGCTGGTGTTGCATGACAACAAGCCCAGCTGTGAGGAGTCTTAATAACCTATCAGATATGCAAGTGCTGGCCTGATTCAACATTAAAATGATTTGTCTGTTTTTTTTTTCCTTACATTGGGTTGGATAATGTGAACATTTATAAGTGGTCATATAGGCACACGTTTACATGGATTTCTTCCATTTATGAAATAAGAAAAGAGAAATACTTAATCTTATCTTTGCATGTTGATCACAGTTGTGTTTAAAGGTTTGGTTGGGATGCAGAAAATTTTCAGATTTCAAATTGGACCAGAGCGTTCTTCTTCTTTCCACCGACTCTCCTTGACATATTTCTGTTTTATTGTTCAGAGATTTCGGGTCAGGAAATCCACTCCACAGTCATCTTCAGCCCCATGGAGGAGTCGGTGGCTCTGGAGAAGAATGACGACTCTAAGCTGAAGGGCCCTGTGGTAAGAATATACTGTCTGCTGCTCGCTCACTGAGGGATCTTACTTTTTAAACTGGACACTGTATTAAAGAGGTCATCATCTTCTAGATTGACAGGCGGTGCTCCCGTTGCAACAAAGAGGGGATGGTTTACCACACTAGGCAGATGAGGTCTGCAGACGAAGGACAGACTGTCTTCTTCACTTGTATACACTGCAGGTAATCAGTCAGTGCATTTACTGTACATGTAGGGCACTTTATTATTTTCACAGTCCTCCCAGAATTGTCCCAGAACTTGTCATCCCAAATTCAGTGTGGATTGTCCCAAATTCAAAGTCTGTGGTTTTCTATCCTTATTATTAAAATAGTTTGAAGTGACATCATACAAATGGTTAGATGATCAACCATCAAACTCAGCTCATATTTGCTTGAGGCATTTGAAGCAATCTGTAAATAGAAAAGTACAGGTTTTACTATAGTGTGTGTAGCCTATGGTATACTTAATTGGAATTAATACTTGCTGCATCAGTTTTACTTAATCGGTAAAATATTGGTAATAATGTTACTTTATTCATTAATTTGTACTTTGTATAATTATTGGCTAGTTAATCCTAAAGAATAAGACTGTGTTGCTGTGCAGGGCATGAGAGGAGAGATGCTGCATGCTTAGTATCCTCTTTTTGCGCTGCCTCATCAGTTGTAAAGTTGTTTTTCTTTGTGTTACAAAATGGCCGTGTGGCGTGAGGGTTGGCAGCCCCGCTTTACATACAGCAAGACACCATGGACAGAGCTGGCAGCAGTTCAGTTGGTGTTAAGTACACACTGACAGGCAGAGCCCCTGTTGGTTTGCTGCTGACTAACATCAGCCGGTTTTGACTTGGAATATAATGTTCATGTTTTTCTACTAATGTTACTGAGTTAGCCAGCTAGTGTGACAGATGGAGAAGCCGGTCAGCTTGCTAAATGCAAAGGTCAACTGCTGACTTGTTAGCTTAGAAACAGGCAAACAGTAGTAATGTAATGTCACTGAGTGTGTAGACAGCACACAACATCTGTGTCTCTCCTGCCTGTGCAGGAGAGACAGTTAGTGACTTACTACGGTTACGGGTGTTTCTGTCGCTGGAAAACTGTCCCGTGATTCCCAAAATGAGGTTTTTAGGTTGGTAGTCGTGTACCTCAATGCTGAAATCTTGTAACATAATTTTATAACACAGATTTTTGGTTTCCATTTATACACAATTGCAAAGACGCTCTCAAACTGGCCAAACCTCATGTCTGTGTGCACTTGAAAGGTAAAGCAAAAAAGATGCTTGTTCTGGAGGATTAACTAGCAAATAAGTACAAATGAATGAATGAAGTAATAACAGTTTTCTACTGATTAAATAAATTTGATCCAGCATGTATTTTCTGTAATTCCAAGTAAGTATACTATAGCAACCAAACAGGACAGGAACAGACTCCAGGCAGACAGTCAGGTCTGCAGAAACAACATCATGCCAGCCTGCCCTCCATGGAGGACCTGCACACCTCACAGACCACTCACATCCTGGACAGCGTTACAGGTCACTGAACGCCAAACCATCTAGAAACAGAGTTTCTTCACCCCGGGCCGTCTCACTTATGAACAGTTAGTCCATGTTTAAGGGTACTGCAGTAAACACAACTGTGCAACAACGTACTGATGGAGCATCCACTAGCTCTTATTTAAACTTGTATGTGTGTATAATTTTGTCTTCTGGTTTTATATTGTTTCCTTGTATTTTGGACAATAAGTTTTATGCTTAAATGGTGTGATGCATCAGGTTACATTTTGAGGCTGAAATTAATGGTTAAACGTCCTTATGTAATTGGCTACTGGTTGGAAACGTGAAATGCTTGTGTTGGCCTATTTTTGATTAGTTGACCTTAGTGGTGCAACGGATCAAAAAACTCACGGTTCGGATCGGATCATGGTTTTGAGTCACGGATCAGATCAATTTTCGGATCAGTAAAAAAATGAAAAAAAGACAAGACAAAGTTAACTCTCCATTTATTTAAGTATTTTTTTCTGCCCATTAAAAACATTCAACTAAAGACTCATTCCACTCAATTATATAAAAACAAATTAAGGTGCATAGGGCATGATTATTATTTTCTTATTGTGGACACAATCAAAAACTTAAAATGCAATTTAAGGTATTGCTTCTTACTTTGAACATGGAGAGTGAAATAAAAACTATGGTTTATGTCCACATCATCAAAAAAGAATAAAGAAAACAAAGCAGACCTGAGTTTATAATTTCAATTTTTTTTTTCAAAAAGATGAGCATGTCTACATTTTCTGTAACTATGTCCCCTGCTGTTGAGAACACCCTCTCACTAGGCACTGAAGTGCCAGGCACAGCAAGATGGCGTCTTGCCATTATGGCAAGGTGAGGGTATTTACATTCGTTGCTTTTCCACCATGCCAGTGGATCACCATCGACTGGAATGCCACTTGCTGCCTCATAGGATGCCACCTCAAATATTTTTTTTTTTTTACCTCTTCAGTGAAAAGACTGCTCACAATCTCAGTAGTGAGATCACTGTATGTTCTCAGGTGTAGGGCAAGGTCTAGGTGAGATAGGGACTTGAACCTTGGATCAAGTGCAGTACATCTGTGAAGGTAGTCTTGTGCTGAAGTGTATCTGGGCTTCAGGTCCTCTAGAATGGCAGTCTTGACATCTCTTGTGATGGTGCTGTCTTTCTCACTTGGTGCCATGGATTGTAGGAGCTTTGTTTTCAGAGGCAGGATCATGGACACAGACGGTGCAGTTTCACTGCTCAACAGAGTTGGAACCATTTTGAGCGGTTTGAGCAGCTGAAGAACCTCCTCTGCCACTTTAACATCATCATCAGACAAGGTGACAATGTCTCTGACATTTTTCTTTAGGGTTTTGTCTGTTAGTGCAGAGTATATAGCTGCCTGCTGCTCAAGATAATGCTCCAACATATCACAAGTGGAATTCCACCTTGTTGTGACATCATTTATGAGCTTATGAGTAGGCAGCTGTAGCATTTCTTGCTTGGTCTTAAGCACATGAGCAGCTGTTGTGCTTCGGTGGAAGTAGGAAACCACCTTCCTTATCCTCCCAAGTAGGTGGTCCATTTTACTTACAGTGATTCCCTTTTGGGATGCTAAATTAATTGCATGTGCAAAGCACCCTATCTGTGGGCCCAGCCCTGCCTCATTCACTGCATTTATTTGGTTTTTGGCATTATCTGTTGTGACTGGGATATTAGTATTGGGCCTAGCTATCCTCCACTCTGCCACTGCTTCCGTCAGTACGTGCGCCAGATTTGTGCCTGTGTGACTGTCATAGATGGGTCAAGTCTGCAGTACAGGGCTTCGTATCTCCCATTCCGCTGTGATGTAATGAGCTGTCACGGTCACGTAGCTCTCTGTTGCCCTGGAGGCCCACCCGTCTGTAGTTAGGGCAACAGAAGATGCCTGGGACAGTTCTGCCATAACTACAGACTTTTCCTGTTCATACATATTTGGGACGATCTTTTCACTGAAGTGGGTGCGCGACGGGATATCATAGCGTGGCTCAAGCACATTTATCATATGTTTAAACCCCTTGTTTTGCACAACGGAATATGGCCTCATGTCTGCAGCTATAAAAACCCCAATAGCTTTTGTAATAGCTTTAGCC